CCCTAAACCCTAAACCGAAGCCCTTCCAGAGCGCCTCGATGGCCCGGTAGGGCAATCTCAACAAGCCAGCGCCTCCAGCAAGATGCCCTGAGAGCCGATTGGGGCTTCAAGTGCTTTAGGGCTGAGGGTTTAGGGTTGTTTAGGGTTTAGGGTTTAGGGTTTAGGGTTTAGGGTTTAGGGTTTAGGGTTTAGGGTTTGGGGTTTAGGGTTTAGGGTACAGGGTATGATGGGGTATGGGTTGTAGCGTATATTGGGTTGAAGATTTAGGGCTTAGCGCTTCAGTCTCCAGGTCTTGAGGTTGAATCCCCAAATTGATACTGCACTTGCTGTTCCGGCTTTGTAGCACCGCAGCCACTGATCTGCCTTCCCAGCTCTTTGATCTGCTGCAGTGCCCGCAACTCTGGCGCGGTCTTCTGCTTCCTGGCAAGATTGACCTTCTCGGTAGATGCGACATCGTCGTTGGCAGTTGCTGAGCTCATCCTTGTTCTCCAAAAGCTGCTGCGCCTGCAGCGCTGCCATGCGCAGACCTGTTGAGCCACCTGCACCTCGGCCTTTGTATTCTGCAGCTCGGGTGCATGAGCCTGGGCCTGTTCAGGATGGCTTAGGGTTTAGGGCTTAGGACTCCAGGGTTTAGAGTTTAGGGCTTAGGATTTTAGGGTTTAGGGTTCAGGGCTTTGGATTCTAGGGTGCAGGGCTGGGCGTTGGCTTGATGGTTGGTGGTTTGGGGTTTCGGCTAAAGGGTTTCAGTGCTTCCGGGTTTCGGGTTGCAGGTTTTTTGGGTTCGGGGTTGTATTGTCGGCTTTAGGATCTCGGGCTTAGGGCTTGGGGTTTTCGCTTTTAGGGTTTCGGGTTTAGGGCTTCGTGTTTTCCTTTAGGTAGAGTGTGTGTAAGGACTAAGAGGGTACCAAACATGTGTATATATACATATGTATGTACACACTAACAAAGACTAAACATAGAGAGAGAGAGAGAGGAGCTTCTTCAGGTTGAAAGCATGCACTCAGAATGCAGAGAAGGCTTTAGAAATCCCGTTCGAGCCAAGTGCGTGCAAAGATTCGTTCTGAATTCAACATGCCCTGTGAAACCGCACCATGCAAAATGCTCATGCAGTGCGCAAGACTTCTTGTGCGAGTCGCCCTGCTTGCTGCTGGCACCATTCAAGGCTACCCGGAACCCTTGAACCCCGGACCCTTAGCCCCTCGGAGTCTTGGGCCCTTTGAACCTCGACGCGAAACTTGGAAGCCCCAGAACCAAGTTGCACCTTCAACTTTGAACTTAAGAGGCGAGAAACCCTAATCACAAAACCTGACCTCAAGCCTGCCCCGCAGATTTCCACATTCATCCAAATACTAAATGACTCAATGTTTGCTGGAGTTTGCGGCTATAAAGGTTTTGAGATTTAGGGCTTTGCAAAACCAGAAACTCAACCCCACCCAACTTGCAACATTGCATCTTTAGGAGCAAACCAGGACTCTAGGACATAGGTTTTACTTCCAAGGCCCTAAACCGCATGGTTATCGTAAACTACAAAAACCTACTTCTGACTTTGATCTCTTTCGTAGGGTGCCTATACATTCTTAATTTGGGACTTGTCAGCTATGTAGTGCCTCCAGCTCACGAGGGTCGTCCTCGAAAGCCTGGCAGCTACTATGATACACGCTTAATGCTCGGAGTTTGGTTCTGGGGGAAGAGCTTTTTTTTGGGGGGGTTAAGGGTTTTTTAAGGTTTAGGTGTCAGGTAAAACACCGTGTTCGAGTGAGGCGCTGTCAAGGGGTGGAACAGCCGAGCAGTCCGAGCAACAGATGTTTAGAGTACATTCCGCTGTGTTATGGCCGGTTGCGCTTCGGAACAGACGGGGTGTGTACAGAAGATAGTAGCTTCTGCATCGAATGGTTCGTATCGAGCGGCTGTAAACGTAAGAGCATGGCATACGTGAAGTTGTATATATCTCAGGTCAAACATTTATTCTAAGCAGAACGTAACTGAAAACCGAAGCAAGCGACTTGGAAATTTACCGGACACCGGCCCAACCAGCTTCAACTCTCGTCGACAGTTTCAACGCCTCGACAAAAAAAAAAGAAACCCTGTGCGCTGATCGCAACCCAATCCACATATCCCTAAACTGCACATGACTTCGACCGCTACCTTGTGACGGCTTTTGTCGCGACACCGAGTTTCAGTTTCGCACAGGTGAGTTGAGGCTCCTTGGAGCTCTGCCGGATGTCGAATTGACTGCATGATGTGCAGTTCGCGACAGGCTGCTGCAATGCCTCTAATCATAACTTCAGATCCAACTGCAAGGAAATGACATTTGTTTTGGACCGGCACCTTTTGCTCTGCAGGCTGCATCTATCGTGCCAGGGACCGACGACGTTTTTGTCTCTGTAGTTCACTAAATACCCAGTTGTTAACCGAATCACTTCGAAAGGCCAATGGTGTTGGGTTTGGATCTGCATGAATCTGTCCCATTCTTCTATAGCGACTAGAGACGCACGCACCGGAATTAGGGCTTAGGGGGTCTATGTCAACCGACAAGTTTTAAGCTGTAATTAAACCCTGGACTGACGCACAAGTCCCAAACCGCAGACCTCAGCCAAATCTGATACTATAAACCCTGAAACCCTTCATAGTGACTAACACTTAGTGGCTCAGCGCATCACTGTGCCTAATCAAAAACTAAAACGAATGTACCTGAGTGTAAAACGACTGGCAGTCCAAGCCCTACATACCCAAGAACTTTTACAGCCCGGAGGCTCGCAAGACCACCCCATGAGCCAAAAATCGGGACCACACCTAATCCCTTGTCGGATTTCGAGACCCCACCAAGGAGCCCAGAGATTTGAGAGCAAACGGCAGAAGGAGCATCGGGCTTCTGTGGCGTCACGATTTCCACCCCAGACCACCCCAAAACATGCACGGCACTGATGCAGCAGCACGATTCATCAAGTGCGCAAGCTCCAAATGAAGTGCGCATCCCGGAGGATGCAGCGGCATAGGGACTGTGCAAAGAACGCGATTCACACAAAACAACACACCGTTCCACAAAAGATACTGCAGAACCGCACGGCGCACAGGCCGGCGGGGAACACTAGCCACATTGTTTGGCGAATGACAAACCCGGACATCAGCCCAGGAACACCCAAAGCCAAAATCAACGCTTAATCCCCAAGTCCTGGGTCCTAAATCCAAATGCCAAACCCTAACCCTTGGGTGGGCCATGGTGTAGGCTTTACAGCAGGGGCTGCATGACGATCCTCGCTTTCGTGTTTTCAGGAATGTCGGCAGGTAAGGCAGTGCTTTGAGATTTATGATTGAAACTGCTGATGGGCAAAATCCTGCATGACCCTATATACC